ATTAAATATATTAAATATATATTATATATTTTTAAAATATTAAAACACTAAAAAAATCTATAACTACAACTATATTTTAACGCTCTCAAACGAAGCCCAAGGAGATGTGATAAGAATAATTGACTTTTTTTGGGGTGAAGCAAATATATATATATATATATATATAACTTGGGGCATGAAACCTAACTTAGGATATTTTTTTATTTTTATATACTTACAAATAGGACACTGATTCATCCACCCTCTCCCGTTACACACTTTGGTACACCCTCGTTACTCTCCGTTAACTCTGAAGGCACCTAGCCTAGCCTTTGCTGTTCACCATCCTCACCTCCATCCTCATCCTAATCATTTGTAGCCTCATCTTCCTCTTTAGCAGCTTGGGTTCTTTTGAACCCACCTCCAACAGATCTGCTTTCGCCACCACCGCCTTGCAACGTCATGTCCCCTGCTTCCGCTAGATTTGCTTCTGGGTCTGATGATTTCGCCAAATCTGCTTTTGGGTCTAATGCTTCTCTCTCCACTGTTTCAATTGATGATTACTCTATCTCTGCCCCTGCTCCTCCCCCCAAGCTAACAACACATCACACAACCTCCAAATACCGCCACACCACTCACCTCCTACCTCCACACCAAGCCCTACCAAAGCCCTCCACGTCCGTTGTTCTTCTACCCTTACTAGTCCCCTTTCTCACCTCTCTTCCCTACCACCAAGCCCTACCAGATTCCCTTCCGCCCATACTAGTCCCTTTCTCGCCTCTCTCCCTCACCACCAACCCATCTAGTCCACGATGAACCTTTCACCACCCTAACCATCCCAAACCAAACACCAACCCCCCTTCCTCATCCTCCTACCCACCCCAACCGACCGCCCTTCAGCCAACAGCGCCTCTACCTCCTCAACTAGTGCCTTCATGTTCTCAATCAGACAAAATTCAAATCCCCAACAAAAGAGAGAAATTGGAAGGGAAAATGTCTAGATCTGGTGTTGATGGAGGGATAAAGAGAGAAAGAAAATGACAAGATGAAATTGTAGGTTTTGATTGCACTAATCGTAACCTCTGAGATTCTAAGAAAAGAGAGAGAGGAAGAAGAGACTACGTTGGGTAGATTTGGGAGTTAACGGAAAAATAACGAAAAGTAAGGTGTGTAGTAGAGGGTGTAACGATGGGGGTACACATAGCATTATCCTTACAAATAAGATAACGAATGAACTTGACTTATGAAGTGAATGGAAGCGATACTATTTGCCACATATTCAGCCAAGATTCGAGAACTCTTAATCCTATTTTCCAAAATTGTAGTTGTTAAAAAAAAAAGAAAAAAGAAAAGAAAAGATAACGAGTACCTCTTAGCGGACAAGAACAATAATGAGTGGACATAGAGTCTAACTTTGGAGGCATTGATTAGGCAGGGTGTTAGGGAAAGGCTCTGTTTTGTTTTACTAGGAGTAGCCCCGCAAAAAAAGAGTGTGTAATCCATATATCATGATAATTAGGTAATCCACCAAGGGAACGAATTAAGACGATATCCACAACCTATGTGGGTTGCTACTCCAATCAACTCTGGGTCTTAAAGGGACGCCGCAGCAAAGGCTTTAGAATGTATAGTTTTCTTAAATCTAATTACATTAGTTGTGGCCATCTAGACTGACCTTTTTTATCAGTTCTCTACCATATATGTAATCATAGTCATACTTCGTATTAATTAACCAAAATAAATCATTGATTCACTAACAATTATTCATTTTGTTGTTTTCCCTTTGCCATCCTATATGCATTTATTGAAGGCAACAATGATCAAGCAATGAAAATCAACATGAGAGCATAGTTTTAACCAACATGCATCCCACAGCAAACCAGAATTCCTTCCTTGTTGTGCACTTTCTATCTGCCTTAGAAACACCAGAACCACCCTTCCCAATCCAACACGGTACACATTGTGAAGCTGCCAAAACGCACATATGCTGTGGTTAAGAGGCATGGAGGTTTCATGAAATGAAACAAACATTGTAGAGCAATTTTCACCATTGAGGAAAAGACTGAAGGGCAGTGTTTTGTTGCTGGAAAATGCAAAAATCTTGTAAATGAAGTGATCTTGTGGATGGATTAAGAAGTGCTCATCACTCATCAAAGAATGTCAACAAATAAAAAGAGCTGTATCGTTTGTCAGAAGGTATAAGCTGCCTAATCGACAGAAAAGGATTGGAATTTCTTTCCTCCTATGCTCATCTTATTTTGTATTAGAGTTGGGTGGCATACAAGACGAATTTATCTTTTTCATCCAAGCATTAATTATACATCAAGGACAGTTAAGGAATGACGACGGAGTTTTGGATCCATGCTTGCATTATGGATAGAATTTTCATTGCAATGGCTAAGTTACAGTAAGGAAAAACAGAAAAGCAGTTTATTGATATTAAACCAAAGTGCATTTAGCAATTGGTATTTAGCAGTGACTAACTATTGCTGTTAAAAGAATTAAAGGTAATTTATCCACTGGCAGTGAAAATCAAGAATCTAAGAACAATAATAGACCTCTTTAAGTCTTAACTTTTCCCATGAAAAGCTTGATAGAAGAACTTACCATAGTGTTGAATCATCAATCTCCTAGTATAAAACGCTTCCTACATTCAGCGATTGCATCGCTTAACATCAAGATTAGATGCATTTTCTTTCCGCAGGACTTTACCAGTAAAATGAAAGAGACAGATGAGAGAGATGAAAGCTAATCCGATTATTTAATTAAAATATTTATGCATCTTAGCTACAGACTATTGTCTACAATTTTAATTTATTATCCATTTAGTTGAAGAATATGAGACTATAAATGAGAAGAAACTAAAGGAAGTCACAACTGCTACTTAGACCTAAAATCAAATTACATTCAGATATAGCAACATATTATGATCCAATAACTAAACAGACAACAAAAATGACCTCTGACAGTATGTAAAAGGGAATTGAAAGGAAAAGTTGGCCAGGAAATAAAGATTTTGGGATTACCAACCTGAGGCTTTTTGCACAGATGATCTCCTTCCTGTTCACGCATATAAACAAGCCATTATGTTCAACTTAGAGTTATTTTACCATAAATGAGACAAAAGGAGATCATAGATGAGAGAAACAATGTGATCTAGGTAGCAAACACGATTTAGATACAAAATCAAATTAGATGAATCAACATGATGTTGATTATATTTTCTGGCCAAAGAAAAGTAACATTAATGATTCAATTAGTTCTAAATCATCCTTAATGTAGGTCCCACATTTTTTCTTTCCCAAATCCCTACTAAAGGCAGCTGTAATTTGCAAAACATGTTGAAAATCTCAGACTAGAAATTCAAAATGACATAAATTTATGACATCAAATACACTTTAATAAGAAAACATCTTAGACTTTACAATAAAAATACAATCATAGAGGACCTCAGCAGGTGGCTTCTCTCAAGGCAAAACATGCTCCGCCTAAAATTAAAATAACCCTTTCAATTTTTTTACTTTGTACTTTATCCGTTTGTTAAAAAAAAAAAAAAATCATTCAAACGAGAAAAAACAAATATTCATTTTTGTTGAAAGCACAGCATGAATGTCTCTGTGTCCCTCTCGGGCTCAATAGGGTGCTTAAAATTGGCTTAACCCCTGAAAGCCCTTCAACTATTTGTCTTTGAAACCATTAACTCTTCAACATATATTTTGTATACCTTAACCCATAAACATCAAGTTATTGTCAAAAAGGTAATAATCTTCAGTCTGATTCAAAACATTCTCTTCTAAGCCTATGTTTGGATAAAAATTAGTAAAAGAAAAAATAGGAAGGGAAGGGGTAGGAAAAGGAGAGAGAAGTGAAGGAAAATATTGATATTAGTTTTGTTTGAATAGACAAAAGTGAGGGAGAGGAAAGTATAATATTTTAATTTAATTAATAATTTAATAAAAAATAAAGTTAAGAAGAATAAAATTTTTAAAATTTATTAATTAAATAAATAATAAAAATAAAATATTTATATATTTATTTAAAAAAATTAAATACAAAAATAAGTTAAATAATATAATCCGTCTCTATCTCTTTAAATTAAAAGGATTGAAAATAAAGGATAGAACAGAATTCCGTTTTCTTCCATTTCTCTCCATCTCCTTTCCCTCTATTAAAATTATTTATTCAAACAGAATAACGCACTCTCTCTCCCTTGCTCTTCTCTCTTTCCCCTCCAACTTCTTCTGTCCAAACAAAGTAGCTATAACCTTTGCGTCACCATTCTTCCAGGGCAAACACAAGGAATCTTCAAAGAATTCTCGTTCCATATTATCAACTTTAGTTTTTTTTTTTTTTTTCCTTCCCCGGACTACCATAGTAATATCTCTCGACTTTTGCGTTCTCCATGGCACGGTCTCTTGTCATTTGGCAGGTTCTGGAGTCTTGGACTTACTCTGCATTATATAGCCATTCAACCCAAAAATGGAATCTAAATTCAAGAATTCTTCCATAATTGAGATAATAGATATAAATTCTCCCTCTCTAAACCAATGAACAGCTCATAAAAAAGAAACCCAAAAAATTCTTCGTTCATTTTATGGAAGACTTACAGAAAAATCACTTCATTATTGCAATTTCAGTTATGGAAAGATTAAAAAACTTGCATGTAATCTAGATTGATTTCATGATCACAGTGGAAAATGGTTTTTTAAAAAAGACCGAGAATTAGTTGCTATGTATGCATTGATTTTCGTTTGAAATGTGTATCGAAACCGAATTGGGAGCGAGAGAGGGAAATTCAAAACCATAACAGAGTATTCGGCCAAAGAAGAAAAAAGCATACATCAGAGTAGAATGAACTCGGAGAGTTTGGGGGAGTGGTAGGAGAATCCGCCTAGATTTATCAATTTTTAGTATGTCTGGTTTTTGCATTTTAGAACTTTTTATTTGGGTTGTGGAGGAATTTGATGATCTGTAAATAGCGGTGTTTGGGCAACTTCATGAACCTACACTGTAGAAATCTTTAATTGTTTCAATACTTGAAAAACTTGAAGATGTTTCTCGGAAAAACACTTACTTAAGTTACCAATACTCAATATTTTAGAGAGAGAGAAAGTTTCAAGGGGAGTAATTGTAGAGAAAAAAACATAAATAATTACCTTAAGCGGAGGTAAGTGGGGATATTTATTGGCCTTTGTGATGAAATATGGTCATATGTGCCGCTATCTGATTAACCCACGTATAGCCACTCATGTGGGTGTGTCTGGATCAGTGTGTCGATGTGTTCTTGTTCGGGGCTGTCTTAGGCTTCGAGATAAATAATTAGGCTTACCGTACAAAGCTTGGGTTGAATGTTAGATCCATTCCCTACAAGCGGGAAGAGCTGAAGATGAGATTCTTAATTCCGTTTTCGACGCTTTCTGCTTTGGTCTGGGAAAAAGAGTCAACTTTTCAACGGGAAGTATTACAAACTCAAGACAAGGAATCCACAATACGGTGCAGTGGCATAGCCAACGACCTCACTTGGAATTAACCGGCGGGCTGTGTTTAAGCCCCAATAACCGTTTTCCCATTTTCCCCTCTCTTTTGGTTGTAACAAATTGTTTATGTTTAAAAAAAAAAAATTCAAAATAGAAAATTGTTATGCAGCATAAAAAATACTAAAGTTTACGACTAACTTTCGAAGGATGAACGCTATAAAAGAGAGAATGTAGACTTGAGTGATTTATCACAAATGATATAGTTATAATTTCAAAACAGTATAGTACGCTCTATAACCTCATCTAGATGATCATATGTGCTTCAACTTGGAGCCCGCTGGAGAGTAGGTTCTGCGAAAAATATTAAGCTTTGGCAAGATGTTTGGGAAGGTAATTCCAAGTTTCTAGACCTTGCTGCGTCTCCGATTCCGTAATATTTTCTTGGATGAACTTGTAGCTACAATTATTGATGACAATAGAGAATGGGATATTGAAAGGCTGCAGTTCTACCTTCCTGAACATGTGCTCAGTCTCATTACTGCAATTCCAATCCCAATGGCTAGTTCACTAGATGATAGCATTTTTTTGGCAAGGCTCGTCAGATAGCAACTTCACTGTTAATTCTGCATTCTCCATGCTACAACTCTAATGTGCCCCAGTAGGCTAGAATACAAGGAGTTGGGCTTGGATTTG